CGTTTAAGAAACAAGTTTCTACGACTTTTTTGAGCCGAGTTATAGACATTTGAAGATTTGGCATGAAGAGACGCAGACAGTCAGTCACTCTCGTTTCTCTGCGCCTCTCAAAAATTTCAAATCGCTATAACTCGGCTCAAAATTGTCATGGAAAGATGAGTTTTAGTGGATTCAGAAGCAAATTCAGGCGTTTTCTTTTGAATATATAGAGTTTCACATAATTTGACACTTACAGTTCCATTATTATCTTCTTGCATAATTCCACTACCACATTCCGGTGGTGCCGTTGTCACTGGTTCATCCGTACCTCCACACGACACTTGAGCATCTCGTTTACATACAAATGGGGCTGGTTTCGAACAATTACTATTTGTCCATTGGCCAGCATCATAGAGGACTCTATCCCGTAGTGCCATACTCCAACACATTCCTAGACTTGCGCTTTGTAGTCCAATGTTCTGATAATCATTCCAATTGGTTCCATCCAACCAGGAAGTCAAATTCGCTGAATTTGTTCTGGCTCCGATTGTTGCGAAATCCGGTGGAGTTAAGTTAAATAAGTTCTTAATGAAATTATTCTCATCTGGTGAATGAATGGATACCAGGTTCCCGCACTGCTTCTCACATTCTACCCGAGCATCATTTTCCGGGAGAGGTTGAAATTGCGGGAAATAACAGAAACCGTTGAATGGATGGTTACATGATGGTTGATTAGGAGCTTCACAGATGAAATCTAACGGTATTCCGCCATCACAATCGACACTTTGCCAATGACCGGTGTTGAGAAGATAGATACACTGGCCAGCAGCGGTATTTGGTTGACCTGGAAATGTATTATTTAATTTCATTTACTGTTTCAAATAAATCAAAACAAATTTTGAGGATTTACTTAATTTTGATTACTTCGAAGGTTTTGGAAAATTTTCGAAAATTTAAAAATATTTATTTGGAAAAAAATATTTATTTAGAAAATTTTGAAAAACCTTTTGAGAAACCATTTCTAAGTTTAAAATCCTCAAAACATGTTCAAGAATTACGTTCAAGAACCAACTCGCTACTACGTCGTTGAGTCGAGTTATGTCCATTTTAAGATTTCACATGAAGAGACGCAGACAGCCAGACACCCTCGTTTCTCTGCGTCTCTCAAAAATATTTCAAATCGTTATAACTCGATTTAAAATTGTCGTAGAAAGATGATTTTTGGTTTGTTTAGTGGCGAATTTTTGGCGTTTTCTTGCGAATATAAAACAATCCACTACTCAAATTTTTTTGAAGCAATAATTAAAATAACTGTTTCAAATATAATACTTTTAAAAATGGAAAAATTGGCTTTTCAATTCTTCAATTCTGCACATTTCCGTTCTAGGACCATCTTTCTACGACAATCTTGAGCCGAGTTATAGCGATTTGAAATTTTTGAGAGGCGCAGAGAAACGAGAGTGACTGACTGTCTGCGTCTCTTCATTCAAAATCTTGAAATGGCCATAACACGGTATCATCAAGAATCAAGTTTTTACGACGTCGTTGAGGCGAGTTATGTTCATTTGTAGACTTCACATGAAGAGACGCAGGCAGTGAGAGACTCCCGTTTCTTTGCGTCTCTCAAAAACTTAAAATCGTTATAACTCGGCTTAAAATTGTCGTAAAAAGATGGTTTCTGGTGGGTTTAGCAGGAAATTTGTGTCGTTTCTAATAAAACCAAAAAAACTTTGGTTCAAAACTATCGAGAAACTATAATTTTGTATGCAAAGAAATACAGAAACTAAGTTTCATCGAACTCTTTGTATAGATTCGGAATACTTATTGTTTCAAATAAATTGCTTTTAGAACTCGGAAAAATTGAATCTATTGGAAATTGATAGAATCGTTCAATAAATTTGAGACATTCCTGTCGAAAAACCAAGTTTCTACGAGGTCTTTGGGCCAAGTTATAGCCATTTGAAGATTTCGCATAAAGAGACGCAGACAGTCAGAAACTCTTGTTTCTCTACGTCTCTCGAAAACTTCAAATCGCCATAACTCGGGTCAAAATTGTCTTAGGAAGATGGTATTTGGTAGGTCCATTGACAAATTGTCTGCGTTTTTTTTTTTTGTGAATATTTGAAAGGCTTCAAAATATTTCAATGGCTTCTTGTACCTTAGACTTCTTTTACCTTTCTTGTACCTTCTTGTATCTTGTACCGTACCTTCGTGTACCTGCAAAATGAAACTCACCGGACGAAAACCCATTGTACCCCTGAGCCGTGCCACTTTGATCATCCCAAAGGCAAGACGACGGATCCCTTGAAACTGTGCATTTCAAACCAATCCAAACTGGTCGAGCAGCCATACCAGCTAACTCATTGTTATCATCCGGATTATGAATCGAAATCAAATGTCCACCGTATCTGTTACAGTAAGCACTGGCGCTGGAATGCACCTCCTGATCCGTGACCAACATGATGCATTTTCCATTCGAAGGCGAGAATCCGGGTGGGCATATAGCATGAATCAATCCGAAGACGAAGAAAAACAAAAGGAAGTGGAGCTTCATTTTTCTCTGGAAAATTTAGTGATAGGGGAGGTTTAAGTACTGATATTTAAGAACTGATACCTCCCACACACACACATATACGAAGATTATTTGTCATTTCTTTATCAGTATTGCAATGTTAGTGAAAAAAAGATCAAAAAATTGAAACAAGAATTGCTTCAAACCAAATTTCCGGTTTTCATATGTGTTACTGTGACCAGACTACTGTAGGAGCATATACAGAAATCCAGAGGTCAGAAAACGAAGTTACAGTAATCAAGGGAGATGTGGAATCATTGAAACTTATTTTACATTTTTAGAGTACAAATTTTGAAACAGTGATTTTTTTTACATTTTTGGGAAAAAAAAGTATTATACACCCTGTATTAGAAGGGCCCCTTTAACAGAAGGACCGGCCCTTCTAATACAAGGATTACGGTATTTGAATTTTTGAATTTTTCCATTGACCTACCGTATGCCAATCATTCGGATTGGTTTGGAGAATCGGGAATCAGAAAGAATTTCTGGATGGGATTGGATTTAATGAATGCGATGAGCAATAATGGGAAATCGTACAATCTTCAAATTGATTTGTGTTGTGGAACACAGTTGAGAGCCAAACAGATTTTTCATGGATTTACGGTGGGTTTTCGTGTTGGCGCGTTTTCAGTGACTCGGCGCATTTTTGGTGATTACTGTTGGTAATCCAGAGGTGAGGAAATTAAATTATTTACTGTAGAAAATATAGAGACTGAATCATTGAAATTTATTTCACATTCCTGGAATTCCAATCTTGAAACAGTAATTTTCAAAAAGATTTTTGAAGTTTTTCTTAAATTGTTTTATCTCTGTTACAGTAAATTCAATCAATGAACAGACTACTGTAGGAGCATGTACAGTAATCCAGTGTGGACGACATAGAAATGCGAGATTTTAGTCTTTCTTTGCGAAATTTGAAAAAAATTTGAAACGGCAATTTTCTAAAAAATTGTTTCTTGAGAAATTGTTATCTTTTCGAATTCCCGAATATTTTTTTTCCAGAAATTACTGTTTCAAACTTTCTTCAAATTTCAAGGTTCTCGAAATCTGATAATTCGTATGCAATTTTCAATTTGTAAGACTTTTGCAATTTAGATTTTTTTTGAATACTCGGATTACAGGATTTTCGAATTTTTGAAAACAATTTGGTTTAAACTAAACTTAACCTATATTGCTTGTTTTTTGTTATATCTATCCAGCAAAATTAGATACAGTACCCTTATTAAATCACTTTTTTTTTAATTTTTCGTTGGAAAATGGTCAATTTTGATGTCCTACAAAAGTACAGTAGAATTTTTCAACCTGTCTGAAAATTCTAGAGATTACTAATCAAAACTAGAGCTTCACTTTTGTAGTTGACAACTTTTTTGTGGAAATCCACTGAATGAAAACGTGCAAGTACAAGGAATACGAAAGTGTTCAAGTTTTTTGAAACAGTAAAAATTCTAGATTTTTTTTTAATCCGAAAAAAACTTTCCTACAGAAGGGGCCCAGAATTTTTTGATGTATCTGAAAATTTCAGATTATACTAAACAAAACTAGAGCGTGATTTTTGTAGTTGACAACTTTTTTCCTAATAATCCACCCTCCTGATGATATACATGACCAGCAAGGAGGTGCGCCTTCGGCGAGATTCCATCTAGTTTTTTACTGGTTCGAAGCTTCGCTCTTCTCTTTTTCTTGAAGCGTCACGTAAATCTATATTTATTCTTCAATTTTCTCCAAAGTTAACAGACTGACATCGGGACGGACGGACACATATATAAGGAAGATATGCCAAGACCACCACGAAAATTAGAGTGGCCCCGCTTTAAAAACGCATGTCTCATTTGGACAACTTTGTATTAAAAAGTTGTCAATTACAAAATTAAAGATGTATTTTTGTTTAGTATACTCTGAAATTTTCAGAAAAATTGAGCAATTTGGGGCCACTTTTTCAGGGTTTCAAATCAATAAGCTTTTTTTGAAACATGGACTTCGGACAAAATTTTTGGAATTTTTTTCGGTTTCAAGAAAACGGCAGACCTGTTTTTGACAGCCTTTGTCAAAAATGATATTTTCCGATTTTTTTTTTCAGATTTTTGGCATTTTTCCTATCGTTTTTGTCTATTAGATTTGGATAGTTCTTTACCTTTTTTTTTTTGAAGCGGCACAATTGCTGTTTTGTCATATCTTTCAGATTATAGGCTTTACTCCAAATTATCAAATTTCGAAATTTCCTTTTTTGAGATTACTGTTTCAAACTTTTCTCGAATTCGAAGGTTTTCAGAATCAAATAGTTTGTAATAGAATCTTCTTGCAGCTTTCTATGAGCTTGGATTTAAATTATCGTAATCCCTCTAATAGAAACTTTTTATTATGACCTTGAAATTTGAGCCAATTTATCTCGGTTCCTGTGAAAGATATCAAAAAGCGGTCAACTGATAAAATATCTGTGATTTTATGACAAATATTTTATCAGTTGACAACTTTCTGATATCTTTCATAGAAAATGAGATATATGAGCTCAAAGGTTGGGGACAGTGTTTTGAATTTTGAAAAAAAACAAGCTTACCCAACATTTGAATAACTTTCTGTGGATGCTTGGTCCTTGACTGGAGTGACATGATCCATTTTTAGTAGGGGTTTTGTTCTGAAAAGTGTTATTATTTTAGAATTGAAGATTCGGGTTGAGAAGGTAAACGATTCTAGAAAAGAAATATAAGGGCAACAATCTAACGAACGATCTTCTGCAATCAGTTTATCATAAAATTTGGAAAAAAAATCTATATAATATCGTCAATTCGTCATAGCACATTCAAAAAGATGTGTGAATTAATATTACACTCTACTGTCCCTCTCAATGTCCCCTCTCTGCGGAAATTTTGGACCACAAAGATGACAAGGACGAGAAGACAAAGACGAAAGACGCGTACAATGTTCAAGGTCGAGGGTCTAAAGGAGAACAAAAAGTTTATGGTCGATAGCATGTCAGACAGCCGAGTTTCCGACAAAAATAGAGCTTCATTTTTGTAATTGATAACTTCTCTGTACAAATTCATCGAAATGAGATATACCGCTTGAAAGTGTCACAACTCTAACTAGGGAAGGTTGTGAACTTAGGTTGGAGTTTCCGGTCGAGACCTATTTCATTCGAAAGCTGAGGACACGTCCTTTCCGAATCTGTTTTTAGTTTTTGCTGCGGACCTACCAGTTTCGAGAAAAATAAGTTTTAAACTAAAAGACATTTTCGATTGTTTCAATTGTATTTAAGTGTTCACGCGATCCAAAATTCCCATTTTAATTGAAGAAATCAGTAGAAAATCCAGAGTAACCCAAATTTAAAAGACAAACTTTGCTAAAGTTGAAATTGTGAAACAGTAAAATTTTCAAAATCGCGTAACAAGGCAGTTGTATTGACTATAAAGAACTGGAATTCAAGCTATCTGTCCAGATGGTGTCAATTCAATCAGTGTGTACCAGACTACTGTAAGAGCAAATACATTAGTCCAGATGAGGGCGAGATAAAGTTGGATTCATTAAATTTAAATTTATTTTACCTTCCTAGAATACAAATTTTGAAACAGTGAAAATTAAAATTCAGTGGCTTTAGCAAAGTTTATCTTTCCAATTGTTGCTTGGTCCGTCAGTTCTGATTGTTACGGTACTTCTAGGATAAGTAGGATACAGCAGTCTAGTGACCTTTAGTGGTTTCTGGGTCGCTGGAAACCTACCCACGACCTAAATCCGCCGGCCGCGGCCGCTATTCGCACAGCCTTATCCTCCACCACGTTCTCAATTTCTCGGTCACTAATACACACACACACCCTCACCACAGGTCACCCTTTTCCCGGGAGACAGCCTGAAGACACTGAACACATACACACAAACTGTTGTTATCTACAATTCAACGTTGTCTTCTCCTTCTCTTCCCAAACGGCATTATCTGCCTGTCATTCCCCTGAACCACCCAAAAAATCTAGATAACTCGTTTCGAGCAGGTGGGGATTACCTACTTGCCAGCAGAAAATTCTGGATCGAATGGATGGTCCGTCGGTCCTTGTTAAAGAGGACCGACAGACCCTAATTGTTCTCCCAAATCGTTTACCTCCATACACCAGCCTCTGCCAGTACCAGCCGAAATATTATTGATTAGACATAACTTTTAACTATTTTTAGTTGAAAATCGTTAACTTTGAAATCCCATGAACGTAGTCTAGAATTGTTCGATTTGTCTGAAAATTTCAGAGGTTACTAATCAAAAATAGAGGTTATTTTTTTGTAGTTGACAAGTTTTTTGTGCAAATCCATCCAAATGAGATATTCTGCTTGAAATCAACCAAGTACCAGAAACACTGAATTTACTAAGGAAGGTTGTGAACTTAGGTTGGAGTTTCGGGTCGAGACCTATGTCATTCGAAAGCTGAGAACACGCCCTTTCCGAATCTGTTTTCCGTTTTTGCTGCGGACCTACCAGTTTCGAGAAAAATAAGTTTTAAATTTGGGTTACTCTGGATTTTCTACTGATTTCTTCAATTAAAATGGGAATTTTGGATCGCGTGAACACTTAAATACAATTGAAACAATCGAAAATGTCTTTTAGTTTAAAACTTATTTTTCTCGAAACTGGTAGGTCCGCAGCAAAAACTAAAAACAGATTCGGAAAGGACGTGTCCTCAGCTTTCGAATGAAATAGGTCTCGACCGGAAACTCCAACCTAAGTTCACAACCTTCCCTAGTTAGAGTTGTGACACTTTCAAGCGGTATATCTCATTTCGATGAATTTGTACAGAGAAGTTATCAATTACAAAAATGAAGCTCTATTTTTGTCGGAAACTCGGCTGTCTGACATGCTATCGACCATAAACTTTTTGTTCTCCTTTAGACCCTCGACCTTGAACATTGTACGCGTCTTTCGTCTTTGTCTTCTCGTCCTTGTCATCTTTGTGGTCCAAAATTTCCGCAGAGAGGGGACATTGAGAGGGACCGTAGAGTGTAGTATTGATTCACACATCTTTTTGAATGTGCTATGACGATTTGACGATATTATTTAGATTTTTTTTTCCAAGTTTTATGATAAACTGGGTGCAGAAGATCGTTCGTTAGATTGTTGCCCTTATATTTCTTTTCTAGAATCGTTTACCTTCTCAACCCGAATCTTCAATTCTAAAATAATAACACTTTTCAGAACAAAAACCCTACTAAAAATGGATCATGTCACTCCAGTCAAGGACCAAGCATCCACAGAAAGTTATTCAAATGTTGGGTAAGCTTGTTTTTTTTCAAAATTCAAAACACTGTCCCCAACCTATGAGCTCATATATCTCATTTTCTATGAAAGATATCAGAAAGATGTCAACTGATAAAATATTTGTCATAAAATCACAGATATTTTATCAGTTGACCGCTTTTTGATATCTTTCACAGGAACCGAGATAAATTGGCTCAAATTTCAAGGTCATAATAAAGAATTTCTATTAAAGGGATTACGATAATTTAAATCCAAGCTCATAGAAAGCTGCAAGAAGATTCTATTACAAACTATTTGATTCTGAAAACCTTCAAATTCGAGAAAAGTTTGAAACAGTAATCTCAAAAAAGGAAATTTGATAATTTGGAGTGAAGCCTATAATCTGAAAGATATGAAAATACAGCAATTGTGCCGCTTCAAAATTTGTTGGAATTTGGTAAAGAATCATCCAAATCTAACTACAAAAGTGAAGCTCTAGTTTTGATTAGTAATCTCTAGAATTTTCAGACAGGTTGAAAAATTCTACTGTACTTTTGTAGGACATCAAAATTGACCATTTTCCAACGAAAAATTAAAAAAAAAGTGATTTAATAAGGGTACTGTATCTAATTTTGCTGGATAGATATAACAAAAAACAAGCAATATAGGTTAAGTTTAGTTTAAACCAAATTGTTTTCAAAAATTCGAAAATCCTGTAATCCGAGTATTCAAAAAAAATCTAAATTGCAAAAGTCTTACAAATTGAAAATTGCATACGAATTATCAGATTTCGAGAACCTTGAAATTTGAAGAAAGTTTGAAACAGTTATTTCTGGAAAAAAAATTCGGGAATTCGAAAAGATAACAATTTCTCAAGAAACAATTTTTTTGGAAAATTGCCGTTTCAAATTTTTTTTAAATTTCGCAAAGAAAAACTAAAATTTCAATGCAGGCAGCCTGAAATACATTAAAAATATAAAGACAAGGTCATGACCTAGAAAATAGAAGCCCGAAAAAATTCAAGTTTTCAAATTTTCAGGACCAGCCAACAACGACGAACTCGAATCGCATTTGCGATTCTGACACGGAGCAGCAAAACCGAACTGCAAGGTTCCAAACGTTTCGCAGTAATTCATCGAGAATTCAAATCCGAAATTCCAAATGGTCCAGGAAAAGAGGCAAATGAGAAGGGCACATGGGTATGCCCTTTTGAGTATCCGGGTATTCCAAAAAACAAGTTTTTCTCAAAAATAGAAGCCCCAGAGGATTTTGATTGGAAGGTCCAAAATGTGTTTAAAGTGAGTTTTTATTCTAGATTGGTAGCTAGAAGCTTGAAAGCTAGAAAGCTAGACGCGTCTCTTCAAGGGCGCATAACTTGGCTCAAAATTAAGCTAGACAATTTTGTAAAACTGGAAAATGTAGGAAATATAATCGGAATCATTTTTGTAATTGACAAAAACTTTTCAGCTATCCTAGTTTTTGAGATGTGTGGCTTTCAAGTTACAAAGTGCCGAGGTGCGCAGACTGTCTGCGTATCTATCTCAAGAACCATTAGAGTTATTGCAAAATGGCAAATTAAAGAATTATTGAATACAACATTGCCGGCATTTTCCAATTTTCAAAATCCGTCTAGCTCGATTTTGAGCCGAGTTACAGCTATTTGAATATTGGTCACACGAAGCTAGAAGCTAGAGAGCTAGAAAGTCAGAAGAATCCTAAAGCCAAGAATCCTGAACCACGCAATTCATACAACTAGCATTTGAAGCCCAGAATCCAAAGCCCAGAATCTGAAGGCTAGAATAAGAAGCCTAGAATCTTGGAACCCCAAAACGGTAAAATCAACGATTCCAAATTTCCAGATCAAAGGCGAGACTTCACCAGCTACAACCTACGAGGGATCGGATGTCTTATGGTATGAGGACGACGACTTTGCCGCAGCGAATCCAGATGCCATGAAACTCCTAGAAACTCGCCATCGATTCCTAGAGGCTCTCCAGAAGACCACGAAAGACCCAGAAGTCCTTAAATGCATTGATAGGGATCAATACCTCACAAAAGAACTCTTCAACAACCAACAACATTTGTATTGGCACTATGAAGACGTTTCTTATTACCATAACAAGATTCATGTGGATTACGGTATTGCTGGATTCTCCTACATGTGTCTTCGAGAGGAAATGGTGGCGCCTCCTAACTTCCAGTATATCCCTTATCACGTTGTTAAGGAGTCGGCTTATAAGAGGTGCTTAGCTTCAAAGGGTAGCAAGAAATACTTGGAGTTGGAGGCGGAGGTAGCTGGAAATAAGAGTTTGTGGAGCTCAAAAAGGACGCCGACAGCTTGTGAGAAGCCGGAGAAGTGCAAGTGTAATAGAATTGTGAGTTTTTTTTTGTTCAAAATTGGAGACCGTGCTATACCAAACTTGTGCATTTGTGCCCTAACTTGGCTTTAAAATTTTTTTAATTACTTTTATTATTAGCAAAAATTTTTTTTTGCCAAAAATCAATAGTTCGAAAGCTCAAAAAAAGACAAATTGCAATCCATAAAACCCCAGTATCACAATTTTCAAAATCCGAAACATTTTAAATTTTTTATGAAACCGTAATTTTTGGAAAATTCTGAAATTTGTAAAATTCCAAAAAAAAGTTAAAGTAACTCAAAGAAAAAATCATAAAAATACGAAAATTCTGAAATTCAAGAATCTGAAATTCGAAAATTCAAAAATTCGGAAATTCAGAAATTCAGAAATTCAAGATATTCAAGAAATTCTGAAATTCTAATATTCTAAAATTCAATTTTCCATTTTTCAAGTTTTTATTTTCCAGTTTCAACTGCTCTACAAAGACACCGAGGACAGTCTAGAAGACCCTCGGGACCGAGAACTCCCCCGCAAACTGCTCCAGCCCAATAAAGCCGGATTTTTGGACCTGGAACACTTCAACTATATCAGCAATCAAAAGATCATTGTTGAATGCTCAAATGCATGTGGTTGTAGTGAGGAATGTCCCAGAAGACGGCTTCAGCAGGGCCAGAAGAAGCGTCTTGTAGTTTTCTATGAAAACGAAATTATTGGGTTTGGGCTCAGAGCAGCGGAGCCAATAAAAGCGGGAGAGTACGTTACGGAGTATGTGGGTACTGTATTGGCACCACGGAATAATAATAGGAATCCATCGTACGATTTGGGAATCGAGATAGTGGTGGAGGGATTGGTGATCGATTCCAGGAAGTGCGGGTGAGCAATTTTTGGGGTTTTGGTTTTCAAAAGTTTGAAGATTTTAAGCTTAAGAAGCTCCTAGCTTTCTAGCTTTAGCTTCCAGACAGTTGGAGTGTCTCGCTTCTTGGCGCACGTAACTTTAAAGGCACATATCTCAAAAACTAGCAAAGCTAGAAAGTTTTTGTCAATTACAAAAATGATTTTGATTGAATTTCCTACATTTTTCATTTTTCAAAATTTGTCTAGCTCAATTTTAAACCAAGTTATGCGCCTTTGAGTTTTGGAAGAGGCGAAAATAGCTAGCATTTCCTTTAAAGGTGGGGGGACATGAAACAAATAATGTTCTCGAAATTCCGTTCAAAGATGCCCCTCGAGGAGTTGAACTTGTGAGGGCGAAGAAAAGTGTGCGGCGCTGCTACCGACTGAGCCACGCGGGTAAAGAGAAAGAGCACACCCGATTGCATACATAAAGGCGAGGACGACAGCTGTACGCAGAGTGACATTTAGCGTTGTACACCGTGACGGTAGAATGCATACTCTAGCTACAAAAAAACTACGAAAAATCTCCTGTCCCCCCACCTTTAAAGGCGCATAACTTGTAGAAAATGTAGAAAATTCGATCATAATCATTTTTCTAAAACAAAAACTTCCTAGCTATCTAGTTTTTGAAATATGAGCCTTTAAAGTTACAGAGCGAGACACTCTAACTGTCTGCATCTCTATAACCTTTTTTTCAGAAACCTTGCTCGATTTGTGGCCCATGCCTGTGAACCCAATGCCGCCTTCATTGAGACCCACTCCAGAATCTTCGAAACGGACCCCCTGATCCCTAGAGTCAGCTTATACGCTCTACGGGACATTGCCATTGGAGAAGCCGTCACAATTTGCTATTATAGCCGAGATAAGCTATCTTCTGGAAAGGGAATCAAATGTGCATGTCGACCAAACTGTCCCAATCATTTGCCCAAAAATTAGGATTTTATTAATTTTAATTTTTTTTGATCTCCGAAAATAAATTATTATTTTTTCAATCTTTTTTTTTCGTTAAATTTCTAGACATCCTAATTTAATATGTGATCTTCTGGTAGATCAAAGTGATCTATTGACTTTTTTAAAAATCAAAATGACCCGAAAAATCTGATTTTCCATTTTTTCAACTTTTTTGATTTTCCACTAAAAATCCATTTTCCCAAAAATGGCAAATTTTCAGGTAATAAACTATGCCTACTAATCAACCCAAATGTGCAAGAACCAAGCAGGCCACGCCATCTTTTGTCCCTGGTACAGTATCTTCTACAGTAACCATTAATTTGTTGATCTTTAGGATGCACGCGGTGCCAAAAATTTCATATGTCTTTGACGTGCACAGAGGATTCTCGTATGGAAAATGGGCTAAAAATTAACAAAGGTATATATTTTTTATTTTTTAACTGAAAAATTGAGGAAAATTGACTGAAAACTATAAAAAATAATGTATTTTTATGTACTTCTGGGATTTTTCACGATTTTCTACGACTATTTTCCTTTTTCAAGCGAAAAATCGATGAAAAAAGTTGTTTTTTTTTCAACTACAGTAATCTTTAAAGGTGGAGTACGGTGAAAAATTTTATTGCTTTATTTTGTGTAGAATTCAATGTAGATTCACATAAAAATAAAGAAAAAATTCACAAAAAATTCCTAAAATGAGAAAACCGCATCGAAAAACGGTTGTTTTTCCACTGAAAGCCCTTAGGGACGAGCTTTGTTTTTCTAGGCCACCGACGAACAAAAGCGCGCGAAAAATTCGCACTCGAATTTTTCAAAATTTTTTTCTTAGTTTTCGGTGTTCCTTCCGATTTTTTCAGCTTTTTCGAAGTAGTTCTGGTAAAAATTGATAAAATTTGTTTCTTTTCAGATTGAATTCTCTGTTTCTTCACAAATTCTGTTAAAATTCGTCGCAAAATCGTAAATTTTCATCGATAACCGATTTTTAGACAACAAAATTCAATAACACAGGTAAAATGCGAACGGATCCGTTTCGGTGTCCACTAGGTTTTCTATCCGTAACGGGTCCGTTACGGGCAGTTTCGCGAATCTGAGTTCGCGAACGGATCCGTTTTTTCAACATTCGCAATCGGACAGGATACGGAGTTCGCGAACGGACCGGATACGGATGCAGCTGGAGGTCGAGAGATAGCTCCCATGCCCATTCGCGAACGGATCCGTTCCGGATGGCCGAGTTGTGAGGGACTAGCTTTCTCTTAACTCTTCCATCATATTTTTGCATCATTTATTTTCATTTTAAACCTATTTTTGCCGTTTTCTCTCACTTTTCCTGGCAAATATGTTGATTTCTGTCTATCAAAATTTTCGAAAGGCGATTCTACGATGAAAAAAGGTTTGTAACACAAAGGTAATTCTTCGAAACATAGGGTTTGTTATAGGTATCACTTAACCTCTCCGTGAGCAAAAGGAACAGAAAATATTGTTTTGATGCTCACTTTTGCAGAAAGCAAGTTGCTAGCTTAAGGTAAGTGCAAACCACATTAGTTTTCGAAATAGTGACTTTTCAAATTTTCAGCGATGGACATCTACTAAACATCTACCGACTAAAACGTTGGAAATGAGACAATTTTCAAACCCGGAAAACAAAAAATATAACTAATAGGTAAACAGTATGCTGCATTTTCGGAAAATTTCCCAATTTTTTTTTCAGATTGCTCTGGTTCCGGCTGGTCGTTCAACAAAAAAAAGGATTTTCATAGTTTCTCGAACTTTGTTGTATGTTTGATTGTTGTTTCTTATATGTTTTCTTAATAAAGTTCCGAATACTAAGTCTACAACTATCATGAAAACTCAGCAAAAATTAAGAGAAATTGAAAAAAGGAGCGGCGGGGGTTTTCAAAGAATGAGTCGGAAACGGATCCGTTACGGATTCGCGTACGGTCCGTATACGATTCCTATTTCATCCGCGCGCGAATGGCGGAGAATCCGTAACGGATTGTTCGTGAATCACCTGTCAATAATAATAATCAATTTTTTGAGAAAATGATAATTGATCAGTAAGATCTAGCACGATCCAGTACGATACGGCGCCATTTTTGTGTGGCCGGCGATTTTTGGTACTTCCAGACGTTCTCTTTGATCGACTCCATACTTCTTAAGCCCAATAATCTTTCTATCCCCTCCGAATCAATCGAGCTTCAGGTGATTCCAATGAAGCACCGTTAATTGAACTCGCATTGGAAAATTCGCATGACTGGAAAGACAAAAAGAATTTTGAGAGTTTACCACCAACTCACAAAAATGCGCTTTTGGGATGATAAATTGTTACTTACGCGTTGAAGCTTTCGACTTCTGAGGTGGTGTGATATGGAGATACTTTCTCCAAATCTTTCAAACGTTTTTCTGTGGCCACCATATCCCAGAGATTGTTAAACGCTTTCAAATGTGCCGGATTTTTCAAGTTTAAATAGTCAGATCTTTTGGTATTCGCTACACCGTGTTCACACTTATGAACGCGGTGAAATTTGAATCCATTGACTTGCTGTAAAATCGTGAAATAGTGCTTCTTATTCTTGAAATGTCTAATCTTACATGGAAATTGCTATGAATTCCTTGCATATGCATAAAGATCGACATAAATTTTTCAACTGCTAATTTTCCATCGCGCGCTGAGGATGAGAACGAATGGTACAGGTGATTGTTAAGATTTCTAATCCAGGTTTTCACTGGACTTATCTGTTTCTGATTCACCTTCTAAAATTTCAGGTATTTATTTGTGGGATATCAAAGTCCAATTTCTCACTTTCCAAATGCTTTTTTTACATTTCGAGCGAAGTGCCAACCATCGAAAAAAGTAAGAGTTTTCGGATACTGTGAGGCTAAAAGTTTGGCAACTGTTGGATCACGGTCTGTCGTGATAGATCGAATTCGGATTCTTTGGGTTCCATCAAGAAGCATAAGAGAATTTTGAAGATTTTTCAAGGTTAGGTCCAACGATTTTGGTTCCAAGCTTTTGGAGGATTCTGACAAAACAAAAATTTCGATATTTAATGCTTAAAAGCAAAAAATTGCCTGTTTTGGACGATTTTCTGAGCAGCTGTGCTTCGAGAACAAAATTAGTGTCAACATCCAAAATCGCATATCTCGAATGCTCGGCAGTGTGTCCGGGGTGATCGAACTGTGCATCACCCGCTATGTCTAGGTCTTTTTGATGGGCGATAGCGTTTTGCACTACAATTTCTCTAATTTCGTGTTTCGATTCTTTGTAGAACTGGTCTACAACTGGCCGAACGCAATTTTTCACGATGGAATAATGTGCGGTTCGTCGCATATTATCCTTGTCAGAGAAAAAAAGGTTGAGTCGAAGTGTATGCGATGTTTGTAAACAAATATCTGAAAGCGTAAACAACCGGAAACAGTTGAAACGAGTGCGACAGTAGAGTAACGTGTCGACACAAAAATCGATACGATTCGAGTCGACCAGTCGGACTATTGAAGTGATAAAAATCGTGTCGACTGACACCAGAAACGACACAGTATCGACACAGAGTCGACACAACACGACTCTGTGTCGACTCGTGTCGACACAACCTCGAGTCGACTCTGAGTCGTGTCGTGTCGACTCGTGTCGTGTCGATACGAGTCGACTCGACGCCGGTCTCTTTTCCGAGAGGACTACGCGAGGACGCGGACTCTCGTGTAGTCCTCTCGGAAAAGGGACTGTTTTCGCTGTTTATTGTTTTTTTTTTGTTTTTTTTCCGCTACAAATCGATTTTTTTCGCAAATATTGGTATTTTATGTTTTATTACTTCAAATTTTCCACATTCATTTAAATGTAATGCTGTAGAAAACTTATCTTCCTGTGTTTATCAGTTACCTATATCTGATTGAAATTTGTATTATTCTGTCACATAATGTTCTACTTACTACCTTTACTCCTGCTTCAAATCGTGATTTACTCTAAATTTTTTTACAGAATGAGTGTAAACTCTCTCCTGCCTGGGATTTTTTTGAAAAATCGAAGGAAGTCCACCTAGCCCAAACAATTCATAATTAATTTTAAAACTTTTTCGGTCAAATGTAATTCGGGTTCATTTTTCGGTTAAATTTGTATTTTATTATACTGGTGTTTTGCAATAAATCTAAATTCAACTCAATTTTTCATTTTCTTCTCGCATTTTCTAACTTTTTTCTAAATAAAACAAAAAAAAAGTTCAATATCTTAAATAAATTACTGTTCAATAGAGCGCGTTGAAACGCGACACGCGAGTCGACACGACACGAGTCGACTCGAGTCGACACAAGTCGAAACAAGTCGACTCTGTGCCGACTTGCGTCGATACGATTTTTCAGATATTTTTCACTTGTGTCGATACGACTCTGTGTCGACACGTTACTCTATGCGACAGTAACCCGGGGTGATTTTGCACTGTTAAGCCCTTAGGGACGAGCTTTGTTTTTCTAGGCCACCGACGAACAAGAGCGCGCGAAAAATTCGCACTCGAATTTTTCAAAATTTTTTTCTTAGTTTTCGGTGTTCCTTCCGATTTTTTCAGCTTTTTCGAAGTAGCTCTGGTAAAAATTGATAAGATTTGTTTCTTTTCAGATTGAATTCTCTGTTTCTTCACGAATTCTACATTTTTAGCTGTTTTTACACCATTTTAGACGATTTGCAGTCAATTTTTTGCGATTTTCAGCCATTTTTCGACTATATTTAATCATTTTAAGCCATTTTCAGCTATTTTTTTTCAAGTCTGATTTTGGGTCGTTTTTAGCTGTTTTTAGACCATTTTCAGCCAATTTTCAGCCAAAACACTTACCAATCGACGGTTTCTCCAGAATCTCCTCGAAATTCCTCGTGGATTGTGATTGAAAAAGAGCCGAGAGCACGGCGGATGAGCTCGATTGAGAGTGTGAAATGTCGAAAGTCGCTTTACACGAAGAACTTCGAAACTCCTTCCCATCCGATTCTGGTCCCTCTTCTGCTGGTGAGCACGGTGGGGAGCAGGCCGATGAGCTAGACAGATTCGAGTGTGATATCTGCAAAAAATCGATAGTTTGAAGAAAAAAAAATCAATAGTATCTGCAAAAAAAAAATCGATAATTTAGAATTTTCGAGAAAATTCTGGAAAACTTTGATGTTGCAATTTTCCAGAAAAAAAAGTCATTTTTAAAAGTCATTCACTTTTTGAGTATTTTCAAACTACAAACTACAAAAATTGACTACAAACTACACTATCTAGGGATACTGTAGTTTCGAATTTTTGCGAATTTTTATCAAACTTAAAAATGCTTGTAAAATGAACATTTTGGATTACTGTAGGATTACTGTAGATCTTTTATTCAAAGGTTGTACTGTAGAAGGGTTACTGTAGTTGGTATGGATTACTGTAGCTCGTTAAAAAAACAAGTGGAGTACTGTAGTTAGGATAGGTTTACTGTATCTAGGGGTTACTGCAGATTTATTCAAAGGATACTGTAGTTTACTGAGGTACTGTAGATTGGAGGAAGGGGATTACTGTAGATGGGTTACTGTAGTTGATGACACTACAGTAACCCTCTGAAATTCTATAGAGCATACGGTACCATCGATTTTATGGATTACTGTAGTTTGAGGATTACAGTAGGAACAATTTCGGAAAACAATAATTTTTTGATAACTACAGGGTGGCTGAAAAGTATTGAGACACTTGTTATGATGGATCTTGGCACCGTGCCAAGTCGTATTTTCGAAAAGTTTCGTATTATTTCGAAAATAGGGAGCGTATATAAGCCGACATTAGAGCCATTTCCCATCACTTTATCTCTTCACGAAGTTATGCGAGCTTCTCCTCATCGCCAAACCATTGCCAAGCTGTTCAACGACGGCATCTCCACCGGTGACATCGCTCGAAGACTTCTTCTTCCGAGAGCAACTGTCTATCGAGTTGTGCAACAATTGAAAGATCGAGGACATGTGTTGGAGCTTAAGAAAAGCGGAAGACCTCGTACTGTCAACACTCGCCGGACTCGTGGCATCATCAAGAAGAGAATCACACGAAATGATGCG